GTATGCCAACTACTTGCTTAAAACAAGTGAGAAAACAGTCAACAAAGAGTTTAGAAATGAAGGGTAGAATTTTCTGCCTGAAGACTTTCGGTTTACTATGTAAAATGAGAAATGTGCAGGGCAGTATTGAAATGTTTAATTTTTCTTAAGTCTTATGGAAAAGATACTGTATTTGATTTTGTTTCCCTTTATTTTGTTGTTGCCATCATTAGTATCCTATTTGTTGACTCCTACTCTGTATCATGACTGTAATGTTTTGTAGACTATCTAATTTTATTGTTGTAGCAACCCCATGATATCAAGTGTTAACTGCAATTAGTCCCCATTTTATAGATGAGGAAATGAGACAAATTAAATAATTTGTTTGAGGTAATATGGTTAACAAGAAATGGAGACAAGATTTGAACATAGTTTTCAGTGTTTAGAGCAAGGACTCTTCAAAACACTTCTCCAACTTTGATTTTTAACTTTAGTGGTCCATGGTAGAAGCAGAGAACTAGATGAATATAAGAATAGAAGTTGTTGAAGAAAAGATAGGCAGAGCAGGTGTTGGGCTTGGTTTGTTCTTTGTGAGTTAGTGTTTTTCCCCTTGTTACTGGTAATCACTGTGACTAGTAGCAGGAATATCTGATACAATCACATACTTTGAGATACAGGTGGAAACTCCCAGATTAAATATTCTCTGAGATTTCTTCAAAAACTTTATTTTATTTTTATTTTTATTTTGTTTTAATTTTTTTCGAGACGGAGTTTCACTCTTGTTACCCAGGCTGGAGTGCAATGGCCTGATCTCAGCTCACCGCAACCTCCGCCTCCTGGGTTCAGGCAATTCTCCTGCCTCAGCCTCCCGAGTAGCTGGGATTACAGGCACGTGCCACCACGCCCAGCTAATTTTTTGTATTTTTAGTAGAGACGGGGTTTCACCACGTTAACCAGGATGGTCTCGATCTCTCGACCTCGTGATCTACCCGTCTCGACCTCCCAAAGTGCTGGGATTACAGGCTTGAGCCACCGCGCCCGGCCCAAAAACTTTATTATTTGAAGTTAGTTACATTTTGATGTAGTCTCTTGGAATCTAGGATTTAAAATATTAAAAAGGAAATACAGCTTCTGTGGTCACATAAGATTATTATTCATGACTTTTTATTTCCATATGATGTCTTCATCAGTTTGAAAAGTTTGCTTGCTCTGGCTGTTTTTTTTTTCTTTTTCATAAAGGTTTTGTTTTTGTTAACGTACAGAGAAATATGGTTCTTAAGGTGCTGTGGGAATAACTTCCCAATTCAAGAAGATTTTTCTTTGTGATGCATTGTTGATATTCAAAAGTCTTAGATTCGTGAATAAACAATAAGGATAGTTATTTTAATGTGTTCTGATTACCATTATTTCATTATGAATAATAAAGCCCTATTCAACTATTTCTAACTCTTAAATTGCCTACCTTGATGAGACACAAAAAATGTCTTACTATACTTATCTAGAATATGTTTTCTAGATTAGTAAAAAGACAACTACGATTTTTAAGCTGGTTGACTAAGAAAAGGGTACATAGGAAGTAAGAAAATAAGAAAGGGCTGGGCATAGTGGCTCATACCTGTTGTCTCAGTACTTTGGGATGCTAAGGAATGAGGATTGCTTGAGGCCAGGAGTTTGAGACCAGCCTGGTCAACATAGCGAGACCCCCCCAACTCTCTACCAAAAAAACAAACAAAAAAAACCTCCAAAAAAAAAAAACAAAAACAAAAACAAAAACAATTTAGCTGGATGTGGTGGTATGCACTTGTAAACCTGTAGTCCTAGCTACCTGGGAACCTGGGAGACTGAGCCCAGGAGTTCAAGGCTTCAGTAAGCCATGATCATGGCATTGCACTTCAGTCTGAGCGAAAGAGCGAAAGAGTGAGACCCTCTTTAAAAGAAAAAAAAAAAAAAAAAAAAAAAAAAAAAAGGCTGGGCACAGTGACTCATGCCTATAATCCCAGCACTTTGGGAGGCTGAGACAGGTGGATCACAAGTTCAGGAGTTGGAGACCAGCCTGGCCAAGATGGTGAAACCCCATCTCTACTAAAAATACAACTGGGTGTGGTGGTGCACCTGTAGTTCCAGCTACTTGGGAGGCTGAGGCAGAAGAATTGCTTGAACGAGAGAGGCGGAGGTTGCAGTGAGCCGAGATTGTGCCACTGCACTGCAGCCTGGGTAACAGAGCAAGACTGTCTCAAAAAAAAAAGAAAAAGAAAAAGAAAACTTCATTTGTTAGGAAATGATAACAAATTCCATTTAATCCTCTTGAACTTTTTGTCAGGTAGTCAAGTGAAATTGAGGGAATGTGTTCTCTTTCAAGGTCCATGAGGGGGCGTAGTTTTAAGGGCAAGAATTTCCCAGTGCCATGCCCACCTCCCATCTCTCTCCATCCGTGAGATTTAATGGTTTATATTTGAATTTCGCGGCGCAGGAAGAGACTAAGAGTCAGTCACCCCAGCGGAAGTTTAAAGGAACTTTTCATTGGCCGGAGGAACTTGGGAAGGTGGGACTTTCTCCCGGGATAAACTCCCCTGCTCCTTCACCCACAGCTCTCTGGAATCCCCTCCCACATGGTGGGAGCTCCGTTTCCCCTCTGGAATTTTCCTGCTGGAATCCCCTTCCACACTCTTCATGGAAGTCTTCTTCCCTGTATCTAAATAAAATCACCTTTCAGCAACACTTCTTGGGTCCGATATTTACTTTTATGAGCATACGGCGCACCTGCAGTGGTACCATCGCTTATTCTCTAAGAGTTTGGAGACCAAGAACCCACAGCATTCTCCCTGGGGAGCTGTGCCTTGCCAGCACCCAAGAAAACCTGGTTACAGAACGACTAGCAGGGAATTTAAAACTAAGTTAGGGATTTAGGCATTATCACATAAAGGAGTTGAAAGCTCTGGCAGTGTTTGAGATGTTCAAGGATAACCAATATTTTTCAGCTACAAAACCCTGGATCAAAAATAATGTCAGGATAATAGCCTCTACAAAGAATTTTGACATATTTGTCAACTCTTTCTTCGTAGAAAATCTACAAATAATCCCAGGAATCTTTAACAAAAGGCGTGTCATTACTGCTCCAGGGACTGGATGTTGCCCCACGTTCACTGTTTTCCTTGCTTTTGCTGTGGTTGTGTCTCCACTGGCTGCTGTCATCAGCCCCGTGATGATGGTGGAGAACCTCAGTTGTTGTTTGGCACCTTTCTTATCACCACAGAAATGGTCATTTCCCATGGAAGCATTCTTGGAGAGTCATAACTCAAATAAATCAGCAAGAAAAAAACTAATCCCATCAAAAAGTGGGCTGAGGACATGAGTAGACAATTCTCAAAAGAAGATATACAAATGGCCAACAAGCATATGAAAAAAATCTTCAACATTATTAATTATCAGCGAAATGCAAATCAAACCCACAATGCAATACTTCCTCCTACAAAATGGCCATAATAAAATAAATTAAAAAAAAATAGATGTTGGTGTGGATGTGGTGAAAAGGAAACACTTTTACACTGTTGGTGGCAATGTAAAACTAGTAGGACTACTATGGAAAACAGTGTGGAGATTCTTTAAAGAACAAAAGTAAATCTACTGTTTGATCCAACAATTCCTAGCAATACTAGGTTATCTACCTAGAGGAAATTAAGTCATTATGTGAAGAAGATACTTGAGCACACATGTTTATAGCAGCACAATTTGCAACTGCGAAAACATGGAACCAGGCCCAAATGCCGCATCAGTCAACAAGTGGGTAAAGAAAATGTGGTCTATAAATATATCACGTAATACTACTCAGCCATAAAAAGGAATAAAATAATGTTATTCACAACAATCTGGATGGAATTGGAGATGATTAGTTACAGTGAAGTGAGCCAGGAATGGAAAACCAAACATTGTATGTTCTCACTGATACGTGGGAGCTAAGCTGGGAGGGCACAAAGGCTTAAAAATGATACATTGGACTCTGGGGACTTGGGGGAAAGTGCGGGTGGTACTGAAAGGTAAAAGCCTACACATTGGGTACAGTGTACACTGCTTGGGTGACAGGTGCATCAGAATCTCATAAATCATCACTGAAGAACTTAATTCGTGTAACCGAACACCCAATTTTTCCTACAAAACCTATCAAAATAAAAAAGGAAAAAAGATTTTGAAAAACTGTACAAAGGCTGTCATAGCTTTTCTCGTTCTTTTGTTCCCCTTTTCTTTCCTCAAGCTTGTTATTCATTGGCTTTGTCTGTACCCCTGTCCAAATGACAGGTATGCTGGTTTCATGGTTCCCCAATCAAATTTTTATGCCTATATGGTTCCTGACCTTTAGAAAAATTCTTACACAAACTATTTCTTAGTTTTTGCTCCATTAATTCTCAGGCACAGTAAGACTTCTCTGAATTTTAGGATGAAAGCCCCTTATCAGGCTCAAACTGGGACCAAGACCCTTAGGACGTGTGCTTTTTTGAGAAAAGACAGGTCAACATGGGAAATCCATACATTTTAAAATGATAATCCTGTCACTTCTTTCTTTTGCCTCCTTCAGTTCTTCATATGACTGTAAAGATTTGTGGTTATAACTGTGAATTGGGATTATTTCCTCTTTTTCCCCAGATGGAACAATGATGTGTACTACTGTGGAATTAGATCCTATCTGAATATTTTGTTAGGAGGTTTGACTCATTTCTTCCTCGGGTTTTTATATTATTCTTAAGGCTTTTCCTACCTTATTACTGGAGTTTACTAAAGATTTTAATGTCTAGCACATGCTCCTTTCAAATACCTATTGGTAATTCATTTTTTTCTGGTTCATCTGTGAAGAATCCCAACGAGCCTTTTTGAGAACTCGTAATTTGCAGTTACTTTAGAACAGCAATTTATAGAAAGGCATTGTATTAGAAATGTCTTATTTCACTCCACTCGAGCTATGAAGTGCAAGAACCATGAAGATTGAAAAATACAAATGACAGATATGTCTTTTTCTCCTTATTTTCTAGCCTTCTTTGAATCCTGGGGGGAGCCAGTCATCTGATGTGGTGCTTTTGAACCACTGGAAAGTTAGGAATTTTGAAGTACACCGTGGTGACATTGTATCATTGGTGTAAGTAACTCAGAAGCATACTATATTTGTATATAAAATTATTTACTTTTATGCTGATTTAACTGGTAATCCATTGTTAATATCATGTTGCCCAGTATTAAATTGAATACAGGTTAAATGTATGTTTTTAAAAAATGAATTTTGCAGTGTAACAATGCTATAAAAAGAAATCTCTCTTGCGTTTAAAATATGTTTGTGACTAACATATTTGGATTGGCTAAAATGTGTTTAATGAAATGTTGATTAGAAAGTATTAAAATATATGCATTTAGTATTGCTTTGGAATATTTTGAAATTTTGCATCTTGATAAGCAACTTTTTTTGTTAGCCCAATGTTTTCTTGGTTTGTATAGCTAAAAAGTATTCCTAGAAGGTGATAATGGTGACATGAAAATAATTGACGTTTATATACATCAGGATAAGTTTAACTGAAAAAGGAAGTTTCAAAGACTAGTACTGGATGCTTCTGTTTGGGGCCAATAGGTGGCACTGTTTCACTGTCATAATATTATGACTGGTCAGGAATAAAAATTTCATTCCAGTCTTAATGTAGAAAAGGAATGTCAAAATGTGCATAACTGACGTGATGATATAATACAGAGTCCTAGGACATGCTTAAATGGTTTGGAGATTTTTGTTTGTTTGTTTTAAATTTACTCTAGGAAGACTGCAGCCAAACTTGTCTAATTTCTTCTGGTTTCAGATACTTATAAAAATGGTTTAGTATGATTCCCTATTATGCCAGTTAGGGGCAGCAATTAATGTAGCAGTGTTACTGCCATTTGTCTTGGCGACAGTAAAAATATTGAGTAAAGATTTTTACCATTTATATTTCTGATTTTTGAATTGGAAGGATTTTTTCTGTTGGATGGTAACTTGTAATTGTTTGGTAAAAGCAAACCAACACTTGCTTATTCATACTTACTGTTGGCTAGTGCTTTATGGAAATAGATATTCTATAAATGTGTTTCTTTCAAGACTATTCTACCCGTATTCATTTGAAAACATATTAACCAAATCTGGTTAGTGACTAATGAAATAAATTCAAGTGAAGTTTTGTATGGCAGACATCCAAGGAGGGGTATTAAATGCTTCTCAGGTTTTGAGTGCTTTTAAAAATATTAACCTGCTTTTTGAAGTGTACTTTTATTTTGTCATTCAGAGTATTATCTTTGCAGCCTCCTAAACAACCTTTATATGCTGGCTTAGCCTTTCGTATGCTTATTATTCTTTTGCCTTTGGTTTGACAAGGTTACATCCTCACTTAGTTGGTGATGGAAAGGATACCCACCCAAGTGAAAGAGGTCACACTATACACAGACAACAAATACACAGTATTTTTTTTCCCCTCGTGAGAAACATGCTGACTATCTCCAACCAAGGAGACTTGAATAGATAATAGAAAAATCAAACAAGGCTCCTTGATATTCAGGGTTGCATGGGTCCATAAAAGTACCCTACCATATCATGGAGTATATTAAAAAGAGCACACTATCCTTTTATGTAAATATTCATAGTGATTGATATTTATTGTATACATTAGCTTCAAAACTATTCTACTCAAATTGGGATTCATATATAAATTACAGTCATTCCAGTTGAACTGTGTTTTTAATGATTCAGTTATGTGCTCTATCTTTGTCATCGACAAATAACACAAACTTTCATACGCTTGTTCTTAGAGGAGCCATTTACATAAAAGAGTGCTTGGTTACTGGTATTATATATTTAACAACAGATGATCATGAAGCAATATTGTTACTTTGAGAAAGAAACAAAAAAGCTAATACTGAATAAGGTATAAGGAAGGGTTGAGGTTATCTGTGCATACAAGGGCAGAAAGATGTTACAATTAGAAGTCATAAATAGAGAAAAGATTGTAAGCTATTGTACAAAATGTACCGATACCAGATTGTATGTTCTGCATGTTGTTTTGTATTATTTTGTTTTATTTATTTATTAACAAAGATCAGGGTTCACTTTGCAATAGCACTTCTAAGAGAAGGGTTGAATGTTATCATATGGATTTCTTCCTGGTTTGCTGTCATTAGTGTACATAGCCTTCAATTGCCTTTACTAATAATAAGGCAAAACATTAATGATCTGGGGAAAAAATTACATATGAACCAATATAACTTCTGCGTTATACTGAAATCTTTTCTCCATTTACCAATTGTCTATGTTACTTTATGTTACAGAAACACATACTATAGCAAAGCAGACTGTCCTTTCTATTGCAAGGGGTTTTGTTCAGAGTTGGTCAACCAGTGTTGTTTCCTAAAGCATGAGAGGTCTGGTGGAGGGAAGTGGGTGCATATTATTTTTTTGTGTATATTTCTTATTTTTTCCCGTCCCTTTCTTTCTGTAAAAAGTTGGTCACAGTGGAGCTATTGTTTAAGTATGTTATTCAGTAACTATATTTATTTAATAACATTACTGGTCACACAAAATACTGATTTGGTATCATCAACTCCTCAGTATATGTAGGTGACATCACACTTTCTTAGTCGATTTATGAACTAATAGTGGTGATTAAGGTGAATTTTCTATATCTTGGAATTGACTTTTCGTTAACCTTTGTGATGGCCTTCCTGGCTTAGTGTAAGTAGTGTTATTTCACAATAGTATATCACTTAACAAGTCCATTGGGACAGAGATTCTTTCACAATAAAGTCTAAATAATCACAGTGTTTTAACCTTATTTTATTTATTTTGAAGAAATATTGCAAAAATTGTATAGAGAGTTTCTATAAATCCCCTAATATTAACATTATATAGAACCATAGTTCAATTATCAAAATCAGGAAATTGTTATCAGTAGAATATTATTAGGTCTAATCTATAGACCTTAATCAAATTTTACCTGTTTTTCCACTAATGTCCTTTTTTGGAGCAAAAATTCTACTCTAGATCCCATATTTTCATTTTTTATGTCTCTCTAGTCACCTCCAATATATGCTAGTTCCTTGATCATTGTCTTTCATGACATTGACAATTTTAAAGGGTACTGGCCAGTTATTTTGCAAAATGCTGTTCAGCTTCTCTTAATGTTTGATTCTAGACTCTCTTTAAATGGAGAAGCACTGATGTTGATGGCAGTTGCTGAGGCTGAGGAAGCTGCAGCAGTGGAAACCCCTGAATGAGGGAGGAACTCTGTCTGAGTAGGCAGTAGGGCCAGCTGGGGAGGTGGATTCAACAGGGGCAGAGGAGAAGGAGATGGTAGAATTTCTCTTTCAGGCGTGAGTTTTTTTTAGTTTCTTGGAATCACATACTTGGGTCATGACTACAAGGGTTCGAGGCTTCTAGAAATAACTCTACTGAGTCAAATTTATAGTTGCTAGGAAGCAAAGAGGGAGAGCGTGTGGGTGGGAGAAAAGGCCACAGTTTATAGAGAGCGAGAAAGGAAGGAAGAAGGGCTAGATCACAGATTTCTCTATATTGAGCCAGTATTCAGTTCTATAGTAGAAGGTTCGGGTAAGAGAATTCTCATTTAATGAGAATGCCTGTAAGTCGGCATTGTGCTAAGTGCTTTGAGTATGCTGGTTTTATTTAATTTTCACAATATCTGGAGATAGTGATATTTAACATAAAGAAGCAGATTTAGAGCAAGTGAAAAGCAGGGCCAGAATTCGAATCCATGTTCATTTGACTCTAAGCCTGTGCTGTCTTATATAGCAAACACATGTAGTTATTTCACACTTGAAATGTGGTGATTAATGCTTGTTAAAATCATAATAATTTAGTAAATATATTATTAAAATTCCGCCTGTTTCTTTTTTCTCTTTTTCTTCTAGTTTTATTTTACAAGAGATTGGGTCTTGCCGTACTGCACATGCTGGGCATGAACTCCTGTGCCTAAGTGATCCTCCTATCTCAGCCTCTTAAGGGCTGGGACTGCAGGCAAAACCAATGCATCTGGCTGATTCTTTCTTTTTAAAATGTGCCTAGTAGAAAATATGAAAGTACACATGTGACATACGTTTTATTTCTATTTGATAACACTGTGTCTCGATCTTTTCCCATTATACACTGCTGCATGCCTGGAGTGTGTCTGAAGTGAACTAAGATGAAATCCTAAAGTCTGAGATAGAAAACACTAAGGTAGTTACTATGAAACCAAGGTAGACTTCTAAAGATAGGTAAACACCTGGTGTTGGTGAGAGTATTGGAGTGATCAGGTCCAAAGACACAGAGAAAAAGATACATAATCTATAAAGAGAGAGAGAAAAAAAAACTAACCGTAATATTTTAAAAATACTTGTTGACTGCTTATTTTTTTTTTTTAGCCACTGGGCTAAGAGTTCTAAATTCACTTTTATTTGATTCTTATTAAGAAAAACCAATAAAGTAGGTATTATTGTTATCCCTGGTTTTATAAATGAGAACACTAAGGCATAGAGAGGCTAAATAACCTGCTCAAGGACATAGTAAGTATTGACAAATGGCAGAGCAAAGGTTTGCAGTGCCTCACATCAAAGCTGTGTCTTAACCATCGTAATGTGATGTCTCTTTATAATGTGGTACGATGGTTTGGTTGTGTAACATCTGTTCTCACCAATGCAGGCCCTGGTATGTCTACATCTCTTTTTTTCACTTCCATTTCTTTAATCAAATTTGTGATACAGTGGTTTCTGAAATACGTGGTAGTCTCTTCATTGATAGCAATAATATTATATTATGAACATATAGTGTACATACAGTTTCAGCAGCTGGTTTGTGACATGCTAAACCAATTGCCACTTTCTGACAGATGGCCAGTGTGGTGGCTGCATCTCCATTGATAAATATGAGCAAAGAGTCATGAAGATTTGAGCCAGGGAAATAGATGAAATAGAATAGAGCCTTAAAAAAAAAAAAAAATGAAAGGTGCTTTGTGTCTTGAGTGCTTGTAAATCTTGAAAGGTTCCTTGACCCACCAAGGAAATTAATTGGAATCTGCTAAAAAAAGGAATTACATGTTTTGCCCACAGTAATGATAATACTGAATAATGACCCATAAT